GGGGGGGGGGGGGGGGTTGGGATAACAGGATAGGAGCAGCGAGTTTTCCCCAAAACACTGTTGTTCAGCCTTCCATCCGAGGTGCACGCACCTGACACTAGTAACCATGAAGGAATTATAAAGCTTTATATCACTGATACAACCATCTCATTTACAGCTGTGTAGCTCCTTTGTGGAGAAATAAAGTAACATATTTCAATATAGTACAGTATACATTTCTGAAGAAAAGGGTTACATGGAAAGTGTTCTTAATCCCACCATCATCCCAATTGTACAATTAAATTTCTGCTTTGACTTCTGTCTTCGATTTGATGCTTTGGCGTTGGCCAGTTCTACCTGTTCGTGCCATCCACTGATGCCGGAAGAGCTTCCTTTCACTCTCTCTCTGTTTCCACAGGCGGGCCAGCTGAACAGTGTTGTATCCTTCATTATCCTCATCACTGACCTTGGCCCCATGGTCAAGGAGAAGACTGATACATTCAATCTGGCCCGAAGTGACAGCAACATGGAGAGCTGTCCTACCCAGAGGGGTTCTACGTTTAAGATCAGCACCTAGAAGGGAGAAAAAGAGATATCCTGGGATTCAGTAAGACTGTGTTTAACTTTTTTTAAAAATAAAAAGTGCAATCAGAGACAGCAATCTCTTTTATCCTCCACTGAGAAATTTCTCATGAGGAACAGCCTGAGCTGGAGTTTCTTTCCTCTTAAGCAGAGGTTTAAATTGCCCATTTCATCCTTAAATTCCCACAAAAATGGGTCTTAGTTCCATCAGCATGACCCTCATCATTTTGTACACAGTTTGATACAGCCCTCAAGCTGTTGGGAGTTGGACCGTCCTGGGCTCAGGGCAGAGAGGCTGGATCAGCTACAGATAGAACTGATTTGCCATATGGCCCATAGGGAGGAAGAGCTGGTTTGGGAAAGGAAAAGGCCCAAACCCCTTTTGGACACAATAATTTTTGAAGGTGCCGCTCTTGGAAGCCCCAAGCTTGAAAACAGAAGAATGAAAACCAGTGAGAGAGAGACATTCTTCCCCCCTCAGCCGAGTTTTGAATAGAAAGGACCGCTTTGGGCATGAGCTGTCTTAAGCCAACTTTGACAGCAGAATTCCTGCAGTAGGGAAAATATAATCATGGACCGCTATGGGAGTTCTTTCAGAACTTAGTATACTACCATTTTGGAGCAGAAATTCCACTGCCTTCGTGTGGCCTCTGTGGGCAGTAATAAATAAAGCCACAAATGCTCGATGCGCTAACCAGTCAATCCTCTCTTCTTCTGTCATTAGATCTGAGTTTGCAGTGCTGAATGAGGAGGTCTGTGTAGCTCCTAAAGATTGCAACTGGCAATGAAGATGCAAATGTTAATGGCTCAGTATTGAAACGCAGGCAGAGGAAACCTAATGCTGTAAATTAGTCTCATGCTAATTTTATTTACAATCGTAGGGTTTTCTGTGATCTCCTATTTAAGTACGCACCAAATCTAATCCTGGTTTATTTTCTGAGGTCAACCAAAATATTCAGATCACCTTTCTTGGTTTTGGTGCCTTTTGTTTCTATTTCTAGGGGTCTCAAAACTTTGAAATAGTCAGGGCACTCTGGATCTCTGAGAGGGCCCAGCCTGGTAGAATTCCACTTAACACCTCAGAGTTGTGAATCCTGCGACTATTTTTAAACTGTGTCTGTTGCATAGGTGTGAGCATTCAGATCTACAATTAACCAAGATTTTGAATGCAAGTTTTCTAAGAAGAAGAAAAAAAATAAAGTTTACTGTGGCACCCTAAATTATTCTGCTGAAATAAAGCTTGTGAAAAGCACAACTGGAGTTTTGCGTGGAGGACTGGAAGACTTGGTATTCAAAACAAATTACCTGGCTCAGAATTCATTCATTCATTTTCTCTCAGACTACAGTTCGTTTTTTTTTTACAATAAAAGCTAAACACGCACTCAAGTTGAGCTCTCAACTCCTGGTGACTACATGGAATTCATCGAGTTTTCTTGGCAACAGCACAGAAGTGATTTGCCATTGCCTCCTTTGGGTAATTGCCAATCCAACTACCAACCCATTCCACCAATCCTTCTTAGCGTCTGAATCCAGGCAAGATCAACTAGGTCTGCCTAAGTTAATGGATTCTAGCATTCCACTAAAAGAACAAAGAAGTAGATTGTACAAGATTGAAGTCTACCCCTATGTAAGTGGGTAAATGTCCTCTTTTTATGACATAGTTCAACATTTGTGCAAAACATATGTAAGAGAACAAAGATAGCGGGAGCCCTAGTATATCATTCAGGAGGCTACTGAACCTGTGCCCACATTAGCTGCTTCTCTCTTTTTACCATTGGAACATTCCTTGCCTCAAAGCAAGCCCTTCAAAAATCAGTCATTGCAGTTTCTATACAGAATAGTATCTGATGCTTAAAAAACAGTCAAACCAACCTTTCTGATCCTTCCACTTGTAGCTGCAGCCACCAAACCTCCCCAAGAATCTTCTGACCAGATTCGCATAGTGAGAGTTCCTCCGGGGACAATTTCATTTCTTCTCAGAGTAGAATCATCATCGAGATCCACTGTAGAAGCAAACTGAAAACAGTAGGCTTGGAGAAAGAGGATGTCCAAGACAGAAAGAAGACCATGAGATCTTTTCTTGGCCATTTGCAAGATCACTGTGATTCTAAAAAGTTATTTTTAATTTTGGAATTCTTGAACAGTGTGTGATTTGCATCTGCCCTTACATGTAGAAGTAATTTACTGCAGTGTATTAATGCGTGCACAACGTATCAACTAATTACATCAAATTCAGCCAAAACCTGAATGTTAAAGTGCGGGGATTCAGAACAGATTTCTTTTCACTCATGTGGAATGTGGGTGAGACAACATTCTTCCCCAAATCTGAGCTTCCCTGCCACCTCCAGGGGATTCGTAATCCAGCAAAGCAAATGAGAAGGAAACAAAGAACTACAGTGGTACCTCTACTTACGAACTTAATACATTCCATGACTCTGATCGCAAGTCGAGTTGGTCGCAAGTCGAAGTAGATTTTCCCATAAGGTTCAATGTAGTTACCGTTAATCCATTCCGGCGTCCGCGGACCACGCGGCAGGGGCGGAAAAACGGCTGCTGACCACGCGGCAGGGCGGAAAAAATGGCCGCGGACCTCGTGTCAGGGGCGGAAAAACAGCCGCAGACCACGTGGAATGGGTGGAAAAATGGCCGTGGACCATGTGGAACGGGCAGAAAATGGCCGCGGACCACGTGGAACGGGTGGAAAATGGCTCATAAGTCGAGGCGAATTCGTAAGTAGAGGTAAATTTTGGGGGCCGGAGCTGATTGTATCTCGAAAATTTCATAAGTAGGGGCGTTCGTAAGTAGAGGTACCACTGTATATGCATAATTTCAGTAAGAAAATTTGAGAAGTGTCTAAAAGGAAGGCGAATTTGTAAAAGAACCCAGTTCCATAAGCAAAGGGCATCCTAGTCCAAAGGTCAGGAATAGAAAGTGGTGAGGTGGCCGGAATAGTCAAGTCTGCTCCCCCCCACATCTGACAGTAATTAATGTAGCTTTTTCTAGATAAATAAATACAATTAAAAACAATCATGAAGTTGGAAAGTTGACAGGAGGTTACAACCTATCGGAGAGGCAGAGTGTTACACTTAAGACTACTGGCCTGCTGGACAGAAGTCATATTTATTATCTTGGTGCAATTCCTGAATCTTAGAAAACAGCTGATTTTAAGAACTCAAAAGAAGGATTAATAAAAGCAGCACCCAACTGTCAGGGTGATGTTTTCCCATATATTAGGGGAAACAGAGAATCTTAGGGAGGAGGACATCATTCTAAAATAGAAGCAACTCTTAAAAGGGAGCTAATCCTCCAAAAGCGAATAGTTATCATTTTACACAGAGGATATATCTTGTTGAAGCTTAATTTTACCTTTACACAGCTGGGTTTGCAACAAGCATACATGCTGATGAACCATTGGTCTGGTGCAAATGTTGTAGGTGTTGTGCATTCTCTAGGTGGCCTGCACACAATGCTGGATCAAGCCAGCAGCCATGATGTTCATCCATACTGTGAGGTTCAGCAAATCAGTGTTAGGTAGAAAACTGAGCACTAGGCAATCAAGGCAGCATTGTTTGATATATTGCCTGTTCCACACAGAAGACAAGTTGGGCAGGCAAATTGAGGAAACTCAGTGCATAAATGAGAAAGCAATGTAGGAAGCATTCATTAAACATTAAGTGGAGGCACCAGGACAAGCCAACCTGCATAAAAAGATTCAGGTGCCACTTGAAACAGAACAGAGCCAGATTGCGGTTTAACATTAAGAAAATGGTGGGAGCAGCATTTAATATAGAACCATGGGAGGATGCTGACAGGAAATTGAGAGCATTTGGTTCAGGTTAAATCATCCTTAGGACAAGAATGGGCCACCTATTGTCTTCCAAGAGTTGCTGAACAATTCATTGATCATATTGACCACAACTCTAGTAGGTGAAGTTCAGCAAACTCTGCAGGGCAACAGTTTGCCCATCCTTGACCTTAGAGAATGGATAAGCATGTTCTGAATTGTCCAAATATTCGTTGTTCAGTCGTTAAGTCGTGTCCGACTCTTCGTGACCCCATGAACCATATCGTGCCAGGCCTTCCTGTCCTTCACTGCCTGAGTGTGCTCAGTTTCATGCTCATTGCTTCAGTGATGATATCTAACCAGCTCAT